TGATACTGGTTGTTAACCGCTCTGAGTCGCCTGAGGGCTGAGAAGAGCAGTATACAAGTGAAGTAAATAATAAATAAATAAATAAATAACAGCAGCAGCAACCACAACAACAACACTATGTAACACCATTTTTGCCCTGGGTTATAAATGTCATTTCCTAATTGGTTCTCTCATAAAAACATGGGGCAAGTTTATTAAATTGCAAAAACTTTGTCTTTGCAGGAGGGACATCATCCTGCAGGACACTTTGCTATAGTTTTTCAATAACTATCTCACAGAGTCTCAACCTAGTTTTTGGAGTAGAATTAACTACTTTCAGGGCTGCACAATTAAACAGGAAACAACACTCTCAAGCCAGGAACAGAACATTTTTCAAATTTTGTTACATAGTGTAATACAAAGAGGCTTTCCCCCCATTCTCTTGAATCATTCATTGAAAGGGCGAACTGTGAGAAGATGTACATTAATAGAGCTAGTACTATTGCTATTTTAAAATCTATAATTTAATTTAATTTGAAAGCCACTCTAAAATAAAACGCCTATAACCATACTAAAATACTTCCCCCAATCTCAGCATCATTGCAAATTGGGGAGTGAAACTATCCTATGCACCTCTTTGGCAATTTTGTGCAATTGAATGCGCAAAAAGGTGTGTACAGTTGAATGTGCTTTTGCACATAAGGTTTTATGTGTGCTGTGCATGTATAAATTCCTCTATGAAAGGGAGTGAACATTTGGGGTGAATGCGTCACAATCAGTGCGGAGTTTTAGAAATGACATTCTTAGGAGAAATCCTTCTGATCACATTCTTCTTTGGTCAACAGGAAACCAACCTCACAGGAGAGTTCTACCTTGAACCAGTCACGTCTGGGAATTATTTTGGGAAGGTCAAAGGCTCATTGGACTTAAAAAAGTGAGTTACAACCTGATCATAGAATCATAGAATCCTAGAGTTGGAAAAGACCTTGTGGGCCATCCAGTCCAACCCCATTCTGCCAAGAAGCAGGAAAATTGCATTCAAAGCATCCCCAACAGATGGCCATCCAGCCTCTGATCATTGGGTTTTTCTTCCCAGGGAAGCCAGCATTCCCTTAGAGTGTTTCAATGGCTGCATCTAAACCAAGAATAGGCCAACTTGGGCCCTCCAGGTGTTTTGGACTTGAACTCCCACAATTCCTAACAGCCAGTAGGCTGTTAGGAATTGTGGGAGTTGAAGTCCAAAACACCTGGAGGGCCCAAGTTGACCCATTCCAGGTCTAAACTGCAAAATAAAGGCTCATCCATCCTTTTGTTGAACATCTCCAGACATGGATATAATCTTCCAAGGCTGTCCACAAATCCAAGTTGGCAAATCCATTCTGAACTGTAGTCTGAGAACTTTTAAAAGGGCTTCCCAAGGTGGAAAACCTGTTAGGAAAAGCTCAGCACCATGGACAACTCTTCTAAAGTTTAGATTCAGACCTAGAGTGCTTCTGTTGCTACAGAGAAGCACCAGCTGCCACAGATAGTAAGAGTGTATCATTTGGAAGCATCCTATCGTTTCCAAATACCATAAACATGTCTCTGACTGAGCACTCTCTTTCCCCAACCTTTGCGTCCAACAGGTTTCACCTCTGGCTGGAGAAGTCCAACATTGGAGATGTCAAGGTGAGTCAAGCAGAGGCTGTGTAGAGTGGAAGAGCCTCATGTAGATGGTGGAAACAGCACAGATGCGATGGCCTTGGAACAGTGATGATAGGACAAGGTGGCCATTAGATAGGAAAGCCAAGGTCAAGGATTTTGTGTGTGTGTGTGTCAGGAGCAACTTGAGAAACTGCAAGTCACTTCTGGTTAGAGAGAATTGGCCGTCTGCAAGGATGTTACTCGGGGGACACCCAGATGTGTTACCATCCTGTGGGAGGTTTCTCTCATGTCCCTTCATGGGAAGCTGAAGCTGACAGACAGGAGCTCACCCTGCTCCCCAGATTTGAATGATAGACCTTTTGGTCAACAGTCTGAAAGGTCGGCATTTAACCTTAGAATCATAGAATCAAAGAGTTGGAAGAGGCCTCATGGGCCATCCAGTCCAACCCCATTCTGCCAAGAAGCAGGAATATTGCACTCAAATCACCTCTGACAGATGGCCATCCAGCCTCTGTTTAAAAGCTTCCAAAGAAGGAGCCTCCACCACACTCCGGGGCAGAGAGTTCCACTGCTGAACGGCTCTCACAGTCAGGAAGCTCTTCCTCATGTTCAGATGGAATCTCCTTTCTTGTAGTTTGAAGCCATTGTTCCCTTGCGTCCTGGTCTCCAAGGAAGCAGAAAACAAGCTTGCTCCCTCCTCCCTGTGGCTTCCTCTCACATATTTATACATGGCTATCATGTCTCCTCTCATCCTTCTCTTCTTCAGGCTAAACATGCCCAGCTCCTTAAGCCGCTCCTCATAGGGCTTGTTCTCCAGACCCTTGATCATTGCGCCACCAGGGCCTCCAAGGTCATATATATTATATTATATGTAAAGTTTGACTGTATTTTATTTTGTGGGGCATTGATTGCCAACTGTAAAATGCCTCGAATCTCCTCCAGGCTGAGAGGGGTGGCATACAAATATAGTAAATAAATATACAAATATAGTAAATAAAGTCATAAATAGGTAGAGCCACTTATTCAGATGTTGCCCTCTTCCCCTTTTCTTAGGATGACATGGCAATACATGTCTTTACCACTGATCCACTAGTGGCCGAATGGCTTCCCTGTAAATCAGTCGGTGAGCTATTCAGTGCCCTTACCCCAATCTCCAAAGGATAGAATTAATACCTTGAATAGCTCCTTTGACTTTCAGACTGAAACTGAAGTGGACCCTCTGGCCACTGACACGGGAGTGATTAGCCATTGGTACATTTCAGACTAAACCGAGCTGAAAAGTCAGTTTGGATATTGATTTGGTGGGCTTCCTTAGTTTGTTTGTTTCTGGAAGAGGGGAAGCAAGCATTGCCATCCAATGGACTGCCATCCAGTGGACTGGGAAGTAGGTGGGAGATGTCGTATGTCAGCCTGTTCAGCCTGTGATTGTGTCCGATGTTCATGATGGGAATGTGGATGATGTTCCTGATTGTGGGCCTGCGTTTGTTAGCAATAGGGATGAAGGTTTGCCTGGGCCTGAGTTAAGTTCGGATGAGGGTCTGGAGAACAAGCCCTATGAGGAGCGGATTAAGGAGCTGGGCATGTTTAGCCTGAAGAAGAGAAGGCTGAGAGGAGATATGATAGCCATGTATAAATATGTGAGAGGAAGCCACAGGGAGGAGGAGGGAGCAAGCTTGTTTTCTGCTTCCATGAAGATTAGGACAAGGAACAATGGCTTCAAACTACATGAAAGGAGATTCCATCTGAACATGATGAAGAACTTCCTGACTGTGAGAGCCGTTCAGCAGTGGAACTCTCTGCCCTGGAGTGTGGCGGAGGCTCCTTCTTTGGAAGCTTTTAAACAGAGGCTGGATGGCCATCTGTCAGGGGTGATTTGAATGCAATATTCCTGCTTCTTGGTAGGGGGTTGGACTAGATGGCCCATGAGGTCTCTTCCAACTCTATGATTCTATGATTCTATGAGAGGCCCAAGCTGTCTCAGGAAGATTCGCAAGGCCACATTCCTGGGAGCGGCCCTTCGCAGTCTTTCTCAGAGCAACTGTCTGGAGATGATTTGTCAGGCGCAGAAGTTAATGAGAGTCAAGTTAATGAGATAGAAAGCGAGGCTTTTGTAAACAAAGACAGAGTGTTCAGGTGCAAAAAAGATCAGTTCATTTAAGGAATAGAGAGATAAGAAACCTTTACCTGGTGGTAAGGTCAAGAGAAATGCTCTCCTTTCATTTTTGGGATCTGGAAAAACTATTCATGGGAAAGAGTTGACTCAGTTGGGTCAACACTGGAGTTTCATGATGGTCTTGCTTCCATTGTTCTTAGTTTCATGTACCAAGTTTTTGCCAAGCTCCTGATTTGTGTATTGGATTTTTCATGCTGCTCTGTTCCATGGATTTTGAGTCCTATGGGTCTTACTTTGCCTTGAAGCTCATGGACTGACCTTTGTTTTGGAACTTTACTGTTTTTGCTAATTTTGGGATCTGGAAAAACTATTCATGGGAAAGAGTTGACTCAGTTGGGTCAACACTAGCGTGGTGTTTAACATCAGAGGTGTTCCTGCTCTGGTGTACAACAGGAGATTACTGGCTGGTAAAGCCTAAATCTTGGGTGTTAGGTTGGGGTTGACTGGAATGAAACCTGAAAATGGGTTATGGGCCCAGGAAACATGTGTTCAGTCAGACAGATTAGATGTCCTTGGTGAGCCCCTTCCTCTTTGTCCCTACTCATTCCAGCCCTCTTTGTGTCTCACAGGCACCCCATTTGGAGAACCTGCTGAAACTGGCTGGGCCCTTGGCATTGCTGAGAGCCAACAGTGAGTTTGGAACAATTGTGTTAAGCCTGTTCATTCCCCCATTTTCCCTTCCGGCGAGTGGATGACTGATGTTTCCTCTTCTCATTTCTTTAGAGGTCCTTAAGAAAGGAGTGGTTATTCCTGACATCATTGGTGCCAGCGTGAGGGATCCCAAAATCACCATGCATGAGGTATTTGTCTAAAAACAGAGAGTGCTGTTGGGCAAGTGGGCTTAGTAACAAAAGACCTTCCTCATAAGTGTACAGCGGAGTAACTTATCAGCAGCAGTGTGAGCCAACACCAGTAGCCCAAAGTGATAGAAAGAACAAAAACACAGAGACCAATGTTGTCTCTTCCTTAGGAGGATTTTCTTTGTAGTAAAATAATATGGTGTTGAAATGGCAGGGAGAAGGTTTGAGGAAAAGAGACAAAAGAGAGTTCCT